TGATATGCAGAAGGTATGAGAACACATTGTAGTCTTTTTTTTACTTTGCTATAGCAATTTCTATGTTACACTTATGTTCCTATTGTTTTTCCTTGGCATGCCTTTTTTCTTTGATAGGGTCTTAACCTAGCACTTGTTGATTTATTACCAAATGCTGAGATTAGATGGTGTGCTAGACATATATGGGCCAACTGGAAGAAGGTATGGAGTGGTGAAGAAAGGAGGAAGAAGTTTTGGCAGGTTGCCAGGGCTCCGTTTGAAGTTCATTTACAATCAAAGCTTGATGAAATGAGTTTGTTGGTAGTAGGTATTGTGGAAGCTTTGTTAAAGTACAACAAAAATGCATGGTGTAGGGCATTATTCAAGGACCATAGCAAGTGTGACATAGTTGAGAATAATATGTGTGAGACATTTAATAGTTGGATCTTGGCAGCTAGATTCAAATCAATCATCACAATGTTAGAGGAAATTAGAGTCAAAGTCATGGAAAGAATGACTCAAATGAGGGAGTTTTCTGAAAAATGGATAACTGATGTGTCACCTATGGCTATGCAAATTCTTACTGACAATGCTGAACATGCAGCCATATGTGAAGTTAAATTTAATGGAGATAATGGCTATGAGATTCAGCATCCACCATATAAACATGTTGTTAATCTCAAAAAGAAAATCTGCATTTGTAGGTCATGGCAACTGAAGGGGATTCCTTGTGCACATGCAATTACTGCAATGCATTACAAGGATCTAGATATTGAGTCATTTGTTGATCACTGGTACAAGAAGGAAACATATTTGAAGGCCTACAGTAGGTTCATTCAACCTATGACAAACATGAAGATGTGGCCCAAGAGCACAAGGCCATCCATTGAGCCACCTGAAATCACTCCTATGCCAGGAAGACCAAGGAAAAAAAGGTCTAAAGATAGTGATGAGCCTAGTAAGAAGAAGTTTGGAAAGGCTACAAGGAAGGGGAGAAAAATGAAATGCTCTTTGTGCAGGAATTTTGGACATAACAAGAAAAGATGTCCAATTGCTGTAAGTTTTGCTTTAACTTCTTCAACTTTGTTAATGAAATTTATTTTTATCAATACTTCTTAATTCAGTTTGGAAAAATTTTGTATGTAGAAAAATGGCTATACTACTGGAACTGCAAGAACTGCTACAGGTGGAAGTGGTGGTGCAACTACTTCAGCTGCTTCTACAGGCGTAACTGGTGGGGCTACTGGTGGTGCAACTACTAAAAGACCAACTACTACTTCAGCAGCTTCTGGAGGTGCAACTACTGGTTGAAATGGTGGTGCAACTACTTCAGCAGCTTCTATAGGTGTAACTACTGGTGGAAGTGGTGGGGCAACTACTAAAAGACCAG